TATCTTTATTTTGCAAATTTGTCCTCAATATATCGCCTGAACCTGAACTCGGTTTTGTCTATGACTGCTTCTCCTCTGTTCGAAGAGCAATCGCCATGACGAACAAATATAGACTTGTTTTCTTGGAGGATTAATTTTAACAGTTGCTCTAATGAGGACCTACGTTCAGAACGTGCCCTTCTGTTGGACAATTATTTTAAAGGGCGTAAGGGGCTTTATGAATTCTGCTTAGCAATGTCTTATTTGCCCGCCGTTTTCAGATTCATCATAAGTTTCGCAGCTACCGTTGCAGCTCAACAGCACATGTTCCAGCGTAGTTTGCCATATCGTACGATAATGGTGCCTTAGACGTTGCCCGCTTTCGATAACACGGGCTCTAAGCTAAATTTTGCAAAACTAAGATTATTGAGAGCATGACCATATTTGCTTTTGTAATTTTGTTTGATACATTGCACTTAGCTCTTGTTCCGTTGCTTCATGAAGTAGCTGGTCGTACACTGTAGCCATTGGAAACTGCCATTCATCAACGGTGTGGGAGCGTACTGAACGACGAACTACTTTTTCTGACTCACTGAATGGAAGCACACTGGGGATATGAATTCCTTGTTCACAAAATATAACAGAAGAGATATTTCTGAGGATCCTTGCATCTCGACCCTCATCTTTAAAGGATTAGTGATCTGAGCTCACCTATCACCTTCTGGTATAGTCAGTCTGAATTGCCCAGTTGCTTCTGCAGGTGGCACCGCACGAAAGTGCGAGCATAAATGACGACCAAACAGAAATAATCAGTTTAGCGACCAAGTCAAAGTCACTTTGATAACCTAGGTCAAACACCTGTGATCGCGAGCTACGATGATTGCCCACAAGTTAAATTGTTCATCTGTTCCATGTTTCATTTTTCTCGTTTTACATAACCTTCAGTCTTAGCAGGAAAGAGTTCACAGCAATGTTTCGATGGTAGGAGGTATGCAGGAGATCATAACTGGCACGAATGTTTTAACTCAATCGAATCGAACTCATCGGCTAATACGCAAATAATTTACCTCATCTTCAAGTATTCCACGTCATCTTCATCCTCTGTCAGAAAATTAGAGGGAGTTATTCTAATTTGGACTGTTATTGAGGATAAACGTGATTGTGGCCGCCATCAGTTTATTCAGACTTGCAGTCGGTGTATCCTTCTTCTACGTCCTTAATTTATGCAGAGGTTCAATAAATTACAGCCGCTACAAAGAATGCTGCCTTATCCATTCCGCTCCATTATTCGGTCCCACACTTTTACCCCTTTTTTACGATGTAACGTTTACACGAGCGTTATGAGAAACACAAAATTAGCAGCTAGCCATTCATACGTGAAATCGATCTTTAACACACTATTTCCGTCAAGAAGCTGAAAAACACTATAAAGCGGCTTTTCACTTATCCTGAAAGCTTGCCTTTAATTCTATTTATGTCATATGGTTTTAATTTAAATTTCGTTTGTGTATTCCTCTAGCATGATGTCTCATGAAAATTTCGTTCATTTTTTCTTTCGATTCATAACTATAACTCATGCAAATCCCTTAAGGCGTAAAATTGGAAATATTTTTCAGATGAATGCGTCTGAGTTGATGCTGACATTCTGCAACGTTGTGTCGTTTGGATCCTATCAACATTACGGTCTTCTACTTAAATGTTTATTATATCCTGATATTTATCGTTGAACTCATCACTGCTGTCGCACTCATCCAACGGAGCGAAATCCCTGAGAAGTGTACGGTTCAGATTAGGGATGTTTAGGTTTGATGAAGTAGTGTTAATCATAGGCATGCTTGAATATTATGGTGAAGGTAGTGTTTCGCAACGTATGGCTGAGGGAAGTTTTTCCGCGTGCTCTTCTCAAACGGTGATTGGAAGCAAGTTCCTCACAAACCAAAATGATCATCATGTTCCTAATTAATAAATTTGCGAGAAAATGGTTTCTGTTGTTCTGTTTTTAGTTTGATGATCATGCTGCTAACCGTGCAATCACAAAATACATAGATTTCACAAAATTACGTAACTAAGAATACAAAAAAGTAAAATTAATCATTTTGCTTTTTTCTGTGACAGCTATAAATATTTGTCCAATTTTAAATTTCACGACCTACGTGCAGAACCGCCACCGACCCTTTGATTTTTCAATAAGACGAAACGGCTTTCTTCCTAATCTTGCTGTTTGCCGCCCCGCTGGTTTATATTTGGTCTCGCATTTGATACTCAAGTGCATCTCCTGCGCTTTCACAATCCGCATCGCCACGTCTATTACTTATGTGGTAGCTGTTTCTACTGTAAAATGCCTGCTAATGCTCGATTGTGTATCTGCTCCTAAAAAACTCAGGGCAATTGACATTTTTCCATGATCATTTTCAATATCGCTTACCATTTCCTCTGAAAGTAATATGGTTGATAAACTTTAGCGCTAGTTCTACATCTAATATTCAAAATGCGTTTCTTAAAATTCAGAATTCAGCAGTCTTAGCCTTAGGCGAATAGCTGCCATGATTCGACCACAAACGTGAACTCAGTCGTCAGTCGTCAAATCAATTTCCGTTCTTCTCGTTTGAACTCTGGCGCAGATACGAGAAGGTTCAGTAGAAAAATAGCCTGTAGGTAAACGGAACAAAAGAAGTATACGAGATCAGTAATCATTCTCAAGGAATAAGTAAAAACAGCTGTCAATCATTCCTAATCAATTATTTGGTCGATAAATTCAAACTACGTCTCCATAAATGGAGAAATGTCTTTAAATCGCTGAGCGGATCAATCGAAATAATCAGGTGAGAGGTCCCAAATGGAAACAGATCAAAGGAGTTATGTGAAATTTGAAGATTTCCATACATTTGATTAGCAATCTGTGTAACAATATCACGCATTCGAAATCTAAACGTGAATGCTAGAATATTTTATATGCCTAGGATCAGCTATGCTCGTTAAAAATGACTTTGCTAGTTCAGGTCATGAATGAAGAAACAATAGTAGTTGAGGTGTTCCGCAGTTTGGACAATTTAAACTTATTCGATTCAGGAAGCCGGAGTACGTAATTATGAGAGGTAAATTACGAATGTGCAAATGATATGGAAGGTATCAACCAGAGTCAATTACGGCAAGTGGTTGAGGGAAGCCGTGATGAACGAGAATTGGGTAAAACGAATTTCAAAAGCTTGATTTCTAATAAACGCGACTGATGTCTAATTACTGTACAGAAAAGCGCTTCCAACAGAAAACAAGAGCGTGTTTGTTATTCAGGCCCTTTAAGCTTCTCAAACCAGGGTTTATTGTTTGTATAGAGATTAAGCTGCATAATAGATTATTGTTCGTCACCTTTCCTGCTTTCATGTCGTCCTCATGGCATTGAGGGTGCTTCAATTATATCCGTCACTTTAGTCATTATTGAGGGAAGTACTTTTTCGGTCTAATTGCTGTAGATGAGTCTTACAGTCATGTTATATTTAGAAAGTTGATGATGCCATATTTCTACCTTTTTGAGACTGAATAAATTGAACGCTGAACTATTCCGGGATTCATTCGTTGATTTTTTGATGTTGGATGAGTTTTAAATCGTCATAAAATATTTCCCGTAGCTAAATGGTTTTTTTGCCATCCTGACCAACTGGGTTGAAATTTCAGTTGTACGCTGAGGTGAACAGACATTCCAGAGGTTAGATGACTGTTATGGCAATATAATGAAATATAGACTGCAAAGGGAGTCTGATTCATAATGTAGACATAGCTACTTTGTAATTTGTGACATACGGACGATGATTTTATTGCAATATACCGCTGAGCTTTCTCCGTGATGAAGAACTGTGAAATTTCTTCACTTT